TTTTTTTAATCATTTTAATAAGAGTTATTAAAATTATGTAATTTTAAAATAAATTTTTTTTAAATTTTTTTAAAAAAGACAAATAGATATTATTTTCTTAAGATATTTATAATCTAAATTTTATTAAATTATAAAAAAACACTAAAAAAAAAAAGAAAAAAAACACCCTTAGTATCCTGAAACCTATCTCAATTTAATAATTATACAATATGAAACAGGCTTGGCTGCGTAACACCTCTGGGCTAAGACATGGCTACCCGTATGGTAGCAAAAGCGGGAAGTGCTGTGGCACTTGTAACAGCATAGTACAAACGCTACACTGTTTAGGTTTACTATAACGTTAACTTGTTCCCTTTCTTGCCCCTCGCCGCCTTCCCTCTTCCCTCACTCTGCTTTCCTCTCCGACCGCCATCTCTATCTACGTACACCTATACATATGCATATGTTTCATCACCCTCTTCTTTTCTCTTCTAGGTAGCTCCCCACCTTCGCATTTATGTTCCTTCTGGAGTCTGCAGCTCTGTGTTCAGCTGGGTGAGTTTGCTTCTTACCACGCAGTGTTTCTAAATTCTGTTCCTTTTGAAACCTTCATTTGTACTAGTCTAATCACCTTTTACTGGTAATCAGTACAGTATGTGTCTATGGACTGTGATTGCTTGCTTGTACCTTGGGGTGATTAATTAGTACTTAATTTTATGGGTGGTCAGCTGTATTGTTATGGAATATGGATATTAATTTTTTTTTATATAATTTTACCACAATTTGTGGATAATGCATGTGTTTCTGTTCATCATTCCTTGAGAATTTGGAGATGGGTAAGCTTCTATCTGGTAAGATAGGTGCATCATGTTTCAATTTTACTTACGGGGGCTGGTGAAAAGTTGTGATTTTCTGTACGATTATCCTCCTCCAAGTGATGATTGATGAATAATGTTGTCAAGTTTTTAGCTTTCTTTAAAGGGAACTTCGTGTTCTTTCTGAATTGGCGGTTTTAATGGTACATTATGTAGAATGCTTCATTATTAAGATATTACTAAAACTTTTCACAAGACTGAGAATTTTATTGCAGGTAATTTGGAAATTTCTACATGGTGCAAAAAATTGAACTAAAGTTCTTTTCTTTTTCTTTTATTTCCTTCCAATATGGCTGTGTCTTCAGCTGCAAGTTTGTATTTTGGTGCATAATTTCATCTTCAATGTTGAGGGTTGATTGGGTTGAAAATATAGGTCGCAAGCATATGTATGGATTTTTAATTAACCTTTACAATTTTAATTGAAAACTGGTTTCTTTTCTGAGTGCCCATAATAGAAACCATTTCTATCAACTGCAGTCTGTTCACAAGCAATACGATTTCTGTTTGATGCTCAATTTTGATTCGCAGGATGCATCTCTTGTTTTCTCTTTTTAAATGTTATGTTTAGCATTCAAGGTTGATCATTTATCTCCACCAAGAGAAAATTTTTTTTTTTTTTTCTAGTTTACTTATTCTACTAAACTTGGAAGCTAATCTGTTTTTTTGTGCTGAACTGTGTAAATTTCCTGGACTAACATGAGCTGGTTTATAGTGCTTACAAAAGCTTTTCTCTTCTTCTCCTTTTTTGTTTATTTTTATTTTTTTTTAACATTGTTTTATGGTAAATTGACTAGAGTCTGAGTAAGATTATTGTGTTGCTCCTGCACAACCACAGATGGAGAAGAAAACTTTCTTTGCAAACTTGGATGAGAAGGGCTCAAGGTGCACGGTTGATTGCAAGAATATTGTCAAGATGGAAATTCTGTTGGATGAACAAGTTAAGGCTCCCAAGAGCCCAGAGGATGTTGATGTTGATATAATTGACAGTATAAAAGAAGCTGATACTAGTCCTGTTGAAGCTGAGGACCCTGATGCAACTGAATGTTCAAGCTCATTTGCCGACACTATTTCTGATACTGAGAAATGTTCTGGACTAAGTGATGCTGAAGTGGAATCCCAGTTCATTGGTGATGAACCTTTTGGATCTGCTTATGATGCATTCAGCGATGTGTTTCAAATGAGGTGTGTGAGTGTTCATTCTGTATTCATAATCTTCAATTGCTTGTTTGTGTTGACTTCCAGTTATTAACAATTTTGCATGATGGTTGTCTGATTGCAAAGTCTTCATTCATTATATAGCTATATTTTGAGAAACCATGTTATTTTGTGAACTGAGGAGCTGTTGTTAAATTAAATTCTGAGCCTAGGTGCTATATTTTTTTGATACCTGGAATGTATGTCTCAGGTTGTTAGTATTTAGCAGGATGAAATCCTTTTTTTAGTATTCAACTTTACATCCATCCAATCAGTTGGTCTCTACATGCATTTAGACAATTAAAGGAGAAGATAACTCTGGCAAAGTTTATTGCATTCATCTTGTTTCAATAAATTCATTTGTTTAGTTTATTTCTGGTTCTGGATATGCTAATATTCTGATTAATTTTTCCTAATAAAAAGTTACCATCTTGTTTTTTGATGCTGATGAGATATGAAATGCAGTAGAACTTATTTCTTAATTTACTGCCATAAGTGTCTGAAGTCATTAATATCCTCAAATTGCCTGTTGTTCCATTTTAGGAAGAAGAAGTTGACGAGTCATTGGAGGAACTTCATACAGCCACTTATGTGGCGCTGCAAATGGACAGAACTCAGAATGAAAGAAATTGAGTCTCAAGCATTAAAATATTCCAGAGAGCTTGAGGCATACAACCATGCTAAATATTCACTAATCAATCAACATACACTAGAAGGTTTTAGTTCAAAGTCATTGCCTTGTCCTGGTCAGTATTGCAGGAAAAAGGTCCTAAAGAGGAGGAAACGAAAGAAAGTTGAAGAAACAACAGATATTATTTCATACATGTCACATCATAATCTATTCTCCTATCTTGGTATGAGTTTTCTCTTAATCTGTAGGCGTCATTGCTCTTCTCCTTAACTCCAATGTTCTTGACCCTTCTGTGATGTACTGTAGAGAAAAAGAAGTCCTTTCGAGATGGCACTGCAGATGATTTTGCTAATGCAGGTAACTAGTCTCTAGTTCAATGATTCTTAGCATGATTTTAATGTGTAATATAAATCTACATTTAAAATTCTTTTTCTTTTAGTTTTGACACTGATTGTTGTCTTTATCATTGATTGAGGCAGTTATTACAGACCAACATGCTGAATGCAGTGAAAATTTTGGCATTAATACTGATCAAATGCTTTTGGAGCTTGGAGATGGTGAAAATTCCTTGGAGCAGGTTCTTTGGAATATTGAGGTGGCTCACTCTCATGTCTGCAAATTGAAGAGTAAACTTGATATGATAATATCCAAAAATGTCTCAAGGTTTTCTTCCTCAGAGAACTTGAGCCTTCTTGTACCTTGTGAGGCTCAGACCAGTTCTGCTCTTAGTCCTACGTTGTCAGCTGGAAATGGAGACACGGTGTCAGTTGGAGCTATGTATAATCCCAATCAGCATAATGCAGAATACAATATTGCAGGTTTTGTTATGCCTGGAAGTGCAGTTTCAAGTTATGGAGAAGCTTTTCATGTTCCTGATATAATCGAAAGCACAGTAGGACTGCTGCCATATGCTGATGTTACCTTCCACCAGCCACAAATCAGAGACTTGTGTGAAGATGTAAGCTTGCTTAACATGATAAAAAGTTTCATCTATTTATTCCTTAGTTAATTAATTACTAGACATTCTAATGGAAAAACCGTTTGTATGTAATCCATCAGAGATTTTAATGCTAATGAATTTCCTTTTGATTGAAAAAAAAACAGATTTTAATGTTGAAGCTTGTATTTTTAAAGTGATTTCATTCTACTCTTTTAACTGTATGTTGAGACAATTTTTCCTAGAGGTTGGAGAATCTGATAATTAGACTTCATATGTGCAGATTGTAGACAATGTCCTGATTCATAACGAAGGGGCTCATGGAGAAGGAAACACTTTCATGACAACATATAATCAGCCTATGGAGAAGTTTCATGAACCAGAGAAAATTGAAGATGGAAAGAGCACTAATCCCTCTCCACTCCCAACATCAGAACCAAACCCTGCTGCAAAAACCACATCATCACAGGAGCAATCAACTCTGGGAACATGTTTGGCATCAGATATAAATTTCCCCAGGAACAAGAGAAAGCGAGGGGAGCGTAAAGCTGGTTCTGGTGGTTGGAACAAGAAACAATCAGGTGAACCTGACAGCCAATAACTATCTTCAGTGGTTGACTAAGCTAGGTATGTGCTAGAATTGGTATGAAGTAGATGACACCATCTGTCACTCTACCCATGTTGTAAATGAAATACCATGTCTTATAAATGTAGCATTGTCGACAGATAACTTCTAGACATCTCCAAGGTCCGTAAGTTGTAGTTGTGGCAAGCTGGTGGGAAATCAGAATCAAAAGCCAAGTAGCCTAGAACTATGTTTCTCTTTTTAGTCATTGGACGGTAATGAAGGTCTGTAGTGCAAACAGTCAAATTGGAGTTTTTCCCAGTGGAGATTTGCTGACAGCACAAGCAACATCTCTTAGTCCAATTTGACTATTTTACTTGAAGTGAATTGAATTGCTGAAAGCTTAATGTCCAGTATCTTATCTATGTTTTTCTTTTGTTCTTTCTCTTTTGGTGGAACAACATCTTGAATGCCTGAAATTTGGTTATGGTCTTAAATAATGCATTTTGGTAAGTGGTAACCATGGGAAAACCCTTTTCTTTTGTTGAAGAAATCAAAACTCTTATGGACAGAAGTATTAAGAAAGATAGGTTAGTACTTGGGTGATTTTCATTACTTTCTCTTGGCGGGATGCCAGATAGCTCTGTTGAATTCTTTTTCATGCTGATAAATCATGACAGATTTTTTATGGGAGTTAACTTGCTTGTTTAGAAACTTCAATAGGACTGACACCATATATGATTACTAGCAGTTATTTTTGCTTGTGGACGCTGCTGTTTGCTGAGAAGCATATTGTTTGCATCAATGAATCGGAGTAGTGTGTTTAAAGAGAAAGGAAGTTTTAATTGATTCAGGACGCTGAATGCTCTCATAAGGGGCCATAGCATAGTTGGCATTTGCAGCACTTGATAAGTGTCAGAACATGCACGTGTTGCTGTCACAGTGGCTCTGCCGTGTACACGTGATGTGCTTGGTAATAAACATACCAACACCAGATGCTCTATGCAAAACAACCTACTAGTTCTTCCAGATATTTTTCTGGACCATCCCCATCTAAGTTCCTGTTAGACCTAGTTTCTGAAGCAATTTTTTCCTTACAAAAGTACAAATTTGTGAAAGACCCATTAGAAACTTTTCCTCCAACAATTTGCAGTGTGACGATTAAATTTGACTGAAAAGCTTGTCTCTTTAGTTCTTTACAGCTTTAAGGACTGAAAACGTATTTGGCCAATGGCAAAGTTAATAATGTAATTTTCTATCTGTACAGAGTACAGATATTTTCACTTGACCTTGAGAAGTTCACCAAGGCTTTTGAGGTCTAAGAAGTTACAAGTTACTGTTGTGGCTTTATATCAACCCTTTTTCTTCTCTTGGTGGGGGTAAACTCTTATATCCAATCCAGAGTGGACAAAATGATTTCCATGGTGGCCTACAATTCACAAAAGTAAAAGATGAGTGGAAACCCTAATGCCTTTTTGACCCAGAAAAAGAAAATGGCCGCTTCAAGGTTAAACATTATTCTAATGAGAATTTGAACAAAATGTACTCAATTAATCTTTATCAACTTTCCCTCATCTCTGCAAATAACTTGGTTCTTCCCCAAATTTCATGCTAGCTTCAAAAGATAGGTTGCAATGCAACATATTCATTTCAAAAGAATTTGGAGTTCTATTTTCTATTTTTGATTGAAATGTTGTGGTGGATGAAGATTTGAATCTAAAACCTTTCAAAATCATAATCTATTAGATTATTAATTGAGTTTTCTAAGACGATACAAATCACCAATCCAACATCTCCAATCATCATGTCTTTTCCTCTTTGCAGAAGCTTTTGGGGTTCAGGATAAAACACCACTCACAAAATGAATCATGATTCCATCCATTGGGAAATTATTTACAAACCCATACTTGCTATGACTATGAGAGATCCCACTCCATGGCTCATTACAGGCATATAAAAACTGGTCTCTTTTTGGGTTCACACTTCAACAATATTACAAATAATTAAGTATTGTATCCCCAACGTGTTCATTGTATAAGAAAAGGCTAATCACAACTGAATTTATAACTTCACAAAAGAAATTTATAGGCTGAAAAGCATACTTTGCCTAAGAACTCTTTCCTTTCTTCTTCATTGAGGTCCTATATTTCTCCACTACTCTCAGCTTCTTTGAACATCTGAGGTTCATCGATCTTTCCAAAAATGGAAATAGATCGGGAAACTTGTTTCTATATTTGCAAATTTCCTCCAATGCCAAAGGGCAGGATAGAACTATGATTTGATTTTTGCTGGGGTTTGATATATAAGCCAAAACAAAAGATGTGTTTAGTGTTTTCTTTGATCCTCTATGACTCCTGTAACACAAACGCAGGCCAGGCATCTCTAAAACAAAGTGATGCCCCTAACAATGTGACTTAACTTTCCATTCCAATAATGATTTGTTAAGAGATATTAGGAGGTGAACATGATTAAAGGGGTCTAGATACATTCTGTGCCCAAGAAAGTAATGATTTTGATAAATTGGGGTTCCTTTTTAAAGTGATGAAGGTGAAGGGTACTCTAGTAATTGCATCAAAAGTAACAATTTTGATTTGCCTTTAAAACTTGAAATCCTTTCTCCTTCTCCTATGTAGAAAATCTCTAGGAAATCATCATGCCTGCCAAAGCAAAAGGGAGAGGGTTGTAATAAAAAAAATGCTGAAAAAGAAAAGAAGCACATTGCCAACTCTTCCATCTCTGAGTCACAAACTGACGGCAAAAGGGTCTTCCCTCTCTCTACACAGATGAAAATTCCCTGTTCTCCATTATCTCAGCTCTTTCATACACATTCTTCAGTTTGCTTTGTTCATGCAAGATCCAAAGAACTCTCACACAAGGTATGCAATCAAATTTATCTCTTTTCTTCTTTCTGGTTTTTTCTCATATACATGGTAAACATTACTTTACTGCATGAGCGGAAAGGAATGCTGCAATGCTGCTGAATTTTGCCAGTTATCTGCAAGGAAAAATGCAACTTTTATACTTTTTCTCGTAGATTTCTGCAATGGGTATTGGAAAGACAATTTCTTTTATGACAAATTGCATGTATCATCGTATCTTATGGTTCAGAAATAGTGACCTCTTGGGAAGCATCAAGTATGCCTCTTAAAATTAGATTTTCTGCAAAAATTTGTACTTAATGCAGGGTTTTTTCTGATGCTTCTACTCCTATAAGACCATTATCGAGATGAACTCACATTATGAAGAATGTTGTGTGAGTAATCTTGCTCAGAGCGAAAGAATGTCAGATACAGCAGTGAATGAATGCCATCCTGTTCTTCAATGCGCCAAAGGTGGTGCCTTTGGGAGAATGGACCAATCTTCTAGGTCCCCAATTCCGAAAGCTGAGCCCAATTTGACCCAAATGAACATTTGAGAGGGGGTAGAGAAATGGGTCTTAGGCCTAGGTCTATCTTGGGCTGAAATGCCCTTTTACTTTTAGCCTTAAGTCAAAAGAAGACCTTGTCAACCCTTTGAACATTTTGTTACATGCTTTATCTGGTCCCAAGTTTCTACAACCATTGAGGTTGAAACTGTCAAAAACCAAAAAAAAAAAAGGAAAAAAGAAACTTCATTTTCTCTAAAATAGCTAAATATGGGAGCTTGGGAATTTGCATTGAGAACTTTAGAACTTGGAGTATTTAGAAAATAACTGATTATAAAACTGTTGTTTCCTCTTGTTTTCTAGCAAGGAAAACTTGAAATTCTTCCGCATTTTTTCTCCGTCTTTAGCTTCTAAATTCCAAAGATGCATTTAGAGAATCAATTAGTTCAATCTTTTGTGCTTCAATTGTGCTTGATTTTCTACAGGAAGCCCTGGTATCAGAGAGCAATGCAGATGGCTACTGTGTGGAAAACTGTTCCTAAATCTGAAGGGATTCCTATGCCAAATACCACATTATGGAAAACAATATCCAAGCCTACAGAAATCCCTGCGGCAAATGGAATACTATGGAAGGCAATTCCAAAGCCTGTGGAAGTTCCAACATCTAATCCCAATAGAGAGAAGCTAAGAAAATGCACCTCTCTAAGAGTTGCCTCTTCGTTTACTAGAGTTTGTTTATGTGCACCAATATCTTCCTACAATGAGGTTTTTCGTGCTGATGTTCCCCCTAGAAGAAGCAACAGTTACCCTAGGGCAAAGACATTTCCTGCATCCCAAGAAAGAACCACTAGTGCGAGGCTTAGCATGGAAGGAAGAAGAGTTTTCAGGGGAAAATCTTTAACTGACGATGTATTGATGAGAAGATTTGTTGTGGAAGAGGAAGCAATGATGCAAATTAGAAGGAGGAACCAAATGGAAGTCATTAGGAGGAGAAGCATGATAAGAAGGAAGAAGCTTGGTCCTAGTCCTCTTAGTAGAATGGTACTAGCTGAGAAAGATGAAACTTAATTATCACTTTTTTCTTTCCAATTGGCTTCATTTCTTGTACCTTCTATGATCCTTAATTACTTCTTTTGCTATTGAAATCAAATGTTATTGGCGGTGGGAAAACTCTCAACAAAATCAAGAACAAAGAAAGGAAGCAATGAAGGAGAACTTTATTTGGGTAAAATCATTTTCACATATATATGATTGGAATCAATCAACTAGCTTGAAAGGCAATCTAAAACAAACATGTTAAACTTCTAAATCAAGGGTAGTGGTTGTTTGGTCCATATCAAACTCCAAGTTGATGATCTTTTTTTTTTTCTTTTTTTTCTTTTTTAATTTCTTCTTTGATGTTGGCCTAATCTTGAATGAATGAATGAATGAATGATGGCACATAACATTCAAATAAAGCTTAACATTTGAAGAATCAATGTGCAAAACCTTACATTTCCAAGAAGCAATGATTGTAATTAACGTTGGAAATCATCGAATGTTAAAAGACTGAAAGTATATATATTTCAAAGTGGTCTAGAGTTGATCACATTAAAATTAATATTGATAAAAGAAACTTTTTCATCAGTTGGCCTAACTAAAGACATATCATCTTTGTGGCATGATTATATAAAATAAAGATTATTATTCTCACTTGATGTAATGGGAATAATGATCTATCTTCATCAATAGAATTTTTTAAGTAGAGATTCCAATTTGAAGCAACATGATGAAATGCACCTCACCAGATACATGTATTGTATTTTGATTAATTTATATGGTGAAAAGAACTATTAAATTTGATTCCAATAAGGAGGTGGTCCATAAAATTCCCTAGAGAAAGCCATCAATTCATTCCTACTAATGTTGTAGGTCACATATGTCTCAATGACTTCAATTAGTATTATTTGTTTTGACTTATTAGTTTTATGGTTTTATCCTTAAAATTAAAGGTAGATATCATATTGTAATAGTTAGCTGCTTTTATCTTTTTTAAAAATTAGAATGTTAAGGTGTTATTTTATATTTTTAAATTTATATTAATAATATATTTAACTTAAAAAGAATAAAAATAAAAATAAAAATTTTAAAATATTATAACTTAACTAATAATTTTTTTTCTTTTTCTCAATTTTCTTTGAATCAAACATACTATAATTTCTTAACAGATTGTTAGTTACACGTGAAAGTAACGTGCAACTCTACTCCCTCGTAACAAATTTTGATTCCTTTGAAAAAATAAATAAATAAATAAAAAAGTACATAAAAAAAAAGGGGATGGTAGGTGATCCTAAAATTGTTCTTTATGGATCCAAAGACAAAAGCCTGTGCAAAGGACCATTGCTGACGCATACCCACAAGCGGGACACCTCCTTCTTCTTCTTCTTCATCCTCGGTACATTAGGTAAGGTTGCTTAGTGGCACCCTAGTTTTTGTTACACCCACATAAATAATACAGTAATTGTATTTAATATAATTAATTTTATTAGTTTATAATTTTTTTAAAAATAATTTGTTAAACTATTTAAAAATATTAGTTTTAAAATTTATTTTATTTTATTAAATTATAAATATTGATAAAAAATATATATATATATTAATCTCACTCTTACAATAAATTAAAGTCTCAATTATTTTATTTAATTAAGATTTTTAAATTTTAATTTTAATTTTAATTTTTTTAGAATAAAAATTAATACACACTAATTTTAATATTAATTATTAATTATTTTTAATAATTAAATAAAGGATATATTCAACCGATTAGGGCATAGATTAAAAAAGTCTTAAATATATTTTTTATATATTAATTTATATAAAAAATAAAAAAATACTATTAATTTTAATATTTATGATACATAAATATTTTTTATTAAATAATTAATAAAATTAATATCAAATTTAAATTTTATTATATACATTAATAATAAAAAAATATAATAAATATATTATTATATAATACTTTTAAAGATATAAGGTAAAAAAAATCCTTAAATAAAAAAATTGGGAGGCAAACAATGACCATGTCCATGGGTATCGCTTGCTAATACTAATTTCTAAACATACTGTTTCGCACGTGTCAGCACATCAAGGGAATAACCAGGGCAATCATTGGTTATTCACACGTTCGTTAACTTTTTCGGATCCCACTATCTGATCAACGGTTCAGATCAGTTCAGATTTTGGGCCCACATGCTCATGAATGGGGTCCACTTCCCCACTCCCCAGGTTGGCCTTTTTCTCCGTACACAAACGGGCGAGAAATGAATGCGGGGATAAGCTACAAAGTAAAACCCCACCTGCACCTAATGGAAGGTGTGGAACACGCTCCGGTGGCCTGATCAACGTCATTTTTATTTTTTCTTTTTGAACATTGAAAAATTTGGGAAAGAGAATATTTTTTCAAAACATGGATAGGAGTTGAATTTCCAACCAATTGCACCCAAGTACTAAAAGTTTGAAGATGAACCATTGAACACAAAGATCCAGTGTAACGTCTTGTTTTTTTTTAATTTATTTTGGTGAAAGGGAAATTAATTTGTTTAATGTTGAACGAAATATGAAAACAAACCTGTGTGAATTGACCTAGAATTGACTCAAAGTTGCATTTTGGAATAAAGAATATGACTAGGCTTTGAATTTGTTCAAAAACTTGAAAAATGGTTAAGAAATCCAAGATCATTGTTTGGGTTATGAATGCGTTTTGGTGAATTGAATTGTGGTGGGGTTAAATTGAAGTCCTTAGAAGAACCAAGGTCAGACGATAAAATCAAATCAAAAAGTAGAGGTAGGGTCCGGTCAGGGTAGAATGATAGACAAGTTCAAAAGATGGTTGGCCTTAAATGGACCAAATCAAATTACACAAGCTTCAATAAAAGCATCATGCTACCCCAAAAACAAAAACTTTTAAAAATTGAATCTTGTGGTTACACCAACTATAATGTGTAGGTTACATTAACAGTTTAAGTTTGAAAATTAATGTTTAGCAAATTTAATTTTTTTTTAAATACATTACTCACATGAGGACATGTCTTTAAAGTTGATCTATAGTGAATTAATTTTGACAACACTTTCATCGAAATTGAAAAAATATTCACTATCAAAGAGGGAAAAAAAAACTAAAAACATCATTTTCCAACCCAAATTTCTTGGGGTTGGCCAAACCCTGTGTTTTTTAATTGAATAACAACTAAAATTAGCAATAACGGCCATACCTACTTTGTCGTTTTCCCCTCTTCCCATCTCTTTTTCCCAATTCACATCTCTTTTTCCAAGTACTAAAAAGTTTCCAGACAATGAATCTTCAATTATTAACCCTTATGGTTAGCCCCTAAACTCCTTTTGTTTTCTCAATTTAGTCCCCAATTATTTTATCAATTAAACCCAAGTACTATCCCATCTAACTATTAAAAGACAAAGATAACTTGAAAAATAACAAGACTGTCAATCTGTCATTGTTCCCTTCGACTCGATCTTGCCTGGTAAGATTGGTGAACACAACACAAGAACTCAACCGGAAAGAAAATACGTTTGAGGGTTAATTCAGAATAAAATAAGTTCATGAACCTAGTTGTTCATATTTGTTATTTGGAACAACTGTAGTACTAGTGCTCCTATTTTCTCAACAGAAGCGTGTAGTACGCGCTTTACAAGAGAGAGCGTCCGTGAAAAAGCCAAAGTTCTTTCGGTCACATATATTTATTCTTCCATGATTAACATTATTAGTAAAAATAATACTGATGGTAATTTGGATTTTCATACTAATCCCTGCAATAATATTTTCTTGATGTTCAATAATTCCCTGATTTGATAAGAGTTTTGCTTTTTGGTAGTTTTGAGATAAAATGATAAGAGAGAAATGACCATCCGATTTGATATATTTAGTTATTGAATGATTTATAAAATAATAATTTCAACACGACATTGTAATTAAATTATTTTTATTAATGCAAAAAGATAATAACAGGACAAGAAAACAAAGAGTAGCAGAGACTTAGCCGTTTAATCAGGGGCAGGGCAGCAGAGTTGCTGTACGAATACAGTCTTCCCAATTAAGTAAAGTTAGTTGAAGTTGGGCGGCAGATTGAGTGAGAAAGTGTCCAACCCCTTAATGATGATAATCAGAAGAAAAAAAAAAAAATTAAATGATATAAATTCCAACAAAAGGTGAAAGTTGGGGGAAGAAAAGTTAAGGGAAGAACCAGATTCCAAGTTCTAGAAAGAGAGAAAATAAAACAACAACATGGGTTAAATGCAAATAATTAAGACAGAACCACAAACAAAATAAAAAAAGAAAAGAAGAAAACGAGGGGTGCTGCATAAGAATTAAGAAAAAGAAAAAGAAAAAAAAAGAAAAGAGAAAGGTCTTCTCTGGCTGCTGTTCTTCTTCTGTTTTCTTTTCTTCAGCTTTTTGAAGGGTATTTGCAGAAATTTGAAGGTCTCCATATATAAGGTACGTGGTCAATTTTGGGTTTTCTTAAAGATCTCTTTTTAATCTGTGAAGTTATGGGTTTCTGTTAGTTACGCTGTTTGTGATGAGGGTGATTAGGTTCTTGGGAGGAGTAAATAAGTGTGAATTTCTTGAAAGGTGGGCTTTTTAAGGTTGTTTTCCTAATAAAAATCCCGTCTTTAGATCTCTCATGTCTTAGAAGTGTCAAATGATGTTTTATTGTACAAGAATTGTCATTAAACGTCTCAGACTCTCAGAGGTTTTTGCTTTCTTTTCTGGGTGAAATTTAATGTCATCAAAACATGTAACATCCCAAAATTAAGTAAAACTGAAAAAGAAGTAACCTTTCTTTCTCCATCTCTGTCTATGCCTCTGCCTCTCTGGTGTTTTTAGTCGTTTATGGAGGGTTTCTTTTTCCTGGGAGAATTTCAGCTCTCCAGGAGTCCAGATGGGAAAATTCTCTGTACAGAGTAACAGTATCTAGATTCTCAAGAATCAATTTTTATATTTTTTTTATTTGAGAAAAACTGATAAATCTATGATTCGTTTGTGTTCAACAAAATAATTTTGATTTGGCTGTTTGTGTGTGTTTGTTTGTATTTTTGGGTTTACGATCCTTTTTTTCTGGTAAGTGTTTTTTGTATTTTGGACTGATATGTTAGTTTTGACTTAGTTAAAGAAAAAAATTTGGCAGAGGTTAGCTTTGTTTAAGCAAAACATGAAATATGAATCAAATATAAAGATTCCCCCTTTTTTTTCTTTGTTCTTATTCTCAGTTCCTAAGAGTTATGTTCAGTTTGATTCTGTTCTCAGTGTCGGATGGATTCAGATAGATTTCTGGCTTGTTGAGTATTGAATATTGATCTGTGCGGTATGCTATTACCTTAATTTTCTATGGCTGAGCTTCCTTTACGGATTTGCTTATGGGCGTTTTTCTTGTGAACTGTAAAGCTGATTTTTTATGTTTATATTTCGTAGATTTGTTGTTTTAGTGTTCTTTGTTATGAATGGACTTTGCACTTTGAAGATAATAAATGCCTGCAAATATCCGAGAATTTTTGCAGTAGGCTTGATGAATCACAATGTTTATCTTGTGGCTTGAAAGTGAACATTCAATTGCATTGGAACATTAATTTGTGACAGATTGTGTACATCTTGTTGCTTTTATGTGCAGAAAAATTGACAATAGGCTCGAACCTGCAGATTTTGAACTTAATGAGTTCACTGAGTAGGTGGGTATAGTGCTAATGCTGGCAATATGGGAAAGAAGGGAAGTTGGTTTTCTGCAATCAAAAGAGTTTTCACACCGCACCCTAAGGAAAAGGTAAGCAACCTAAATTTGATATTGACTTTGGTCCAGTGGCACCCATTCTTGTGTGTATGTTGCTGCCTCAGGATTTAAGATCATGAACCTCTTCCAGTTATAGATGATGCTTTGTTGTTTTTCATAGCAAGGTCTCCTATGTGTGCAGTTTCTGATATATCATATTTAGTACCGTAGTGTGCCTTCTTTTAGAAAATTTTGAGGGAAGAACAGAGATATTACTGGAATTGTCTAGTACAGTATGGAATGTTATTCCAAAATGATATCAAGATAATACCTCCTCTGATCTGTTGCTTGACATTGTTTCAGGACTCGGATAAAAGAAGCAGCAAAGAAAAGAAGTGGAAAGGCCTAGGAAAACTAAAGCGTGGAGAAACCAACTCCTTCATTCCCCTCTTTAGAGAGCCTAGCAGTATAGAAAAAATTTTGGGCGACGCTGAAAGGGAGCATAGACTAATATTCAGACCTCCAACACCTCCGGAGCAACCTAGTACACCGCCTTTTGTGTCTCCTAGGGCTGCTTCTCCACGTGTTCCTTCCCAAAGGATTTCTTCTCCAAGGGTTGCTTCCCCAAGAAGAGTTAGTTCTCCAAGGGTTGCTTCTCCAAGAGGTGGTTCTCCCAGGGTTGCTTCTCCAAGGGCTGTTTCTCCTCCTCGCAGGGCACCTTCTCCACCTCTACGAGCTCCTCCTCCAAGAGTAGCTTCCCCAACCCCACGGGTTCCCATTCCAAGAGCGGTATCTCCTGGCATCATCCGCCAAAGACCAGAGCCAACTCTAAGGAACCACTATGCTTCTGCTACAAAAATCCAAGCCGCCTATAAAGGTTACATGGTAAGTGTTGGTTTAAAGCATTAGTGGAATAAGCACATTGTTGTGCAAATTGAATGCTTGAAGGATTTGTGAAGATATTAATGTGGAAAGTTTATAGTTCCCCTTCTTTTGATATGCTCTGGCTTACTATTGGATCATGTCCTGATTTTAACATTGTGGAACTTCTAATACAGGCAAGAAAAAGCTTTAGAGCTTTGAAGGGTCTTGTGAGGCTCCAAGGAGTGGTGAGAGGACAGAATGTCAAGCGTCAGACTATAAATGCCATGAAACACATGCAGCTCTTGGTGAGGGTTCAGTCTCAGATTCAATCACGCAGGATTCAGATGTTAGAAAATCAAGCACGAAATCAGGCTATGAACAAGGAAGTGGAGAGCACCTTGAGCAAATGGGCTGTAAGTGTCCCAATATCTGTTTGTGAACTATGACAATATTGGTTAACTATCTTTTAAGTAGAGCTATAAGTTGTCAAATCAGTAGAACTGGCCTGTTAAAACCATCTTTCTTTTCAATCTTTTTGAAGCTTGATTTTAATGATTCCAGCAGTTCAATTTGTCTTGTAAAAAGGCACTCTTTTACTCAGCCGATGATTATGACTTGCCAACCTGATGGATGGACTCTTTACGTTTCTTATCTTTATAAGTAATCATATTTTTGTTTGAGTTGTGAATCTTGCAATACTTCCTTCTGTGATAGGTCAGTCTTTTCTAACAATAACTAGCCCTGTATAGTACTTATGTAACATATACTGAGGAAATACATTCCCCCTATCAATTCCGAAGTAAATGCGTGCTTGGTCAACTCTAAAAATTGAATCATCTTTGTTTCATACATATTTACTCTTCATTTTCTCATTGGAGTAAATTAGTTTTAATTGGTTGAAAATTGGGTCAGTCTGAGGCAGGTAGTGAAAACTGGGATGATAGCTTGTTGACGAAGGAGGAAAGAGAGGCAAGGATGCAGAGAAAGGTGGCGGCAGTCATCAAGAGAGAAAGGGCCATGTCCTATGCATATTCTCACCAGGTACTCTATCTATACCAACCAAAACAAGCTTCAATTTCATTGTGTTGGCTTTCAACATAGCAGTTGATTTGTGCATGCAATTTCTGACTTATCTTTTTTCTTTTCAATCCTTGTGCCTGCAGTTGTGGAAAGCAACTCCAAAATCAGCTCAAAATGCTCCATCAGATATCCGATTTGGTGCATTTCCATGGTGGTGGAACTGGTTAGAACGTCAACTGCCCCCTGCTAATTCTTCTGAAAGCCAAGGCATGAAGAGTTTCCAACTTACACCACCAAGGCCAAACTCTGAGCTGAAACCAAGTTCAAGGCCAGCATCAAGCAGCAAGCAACATCACTCTGGATTTGATACAATGGATACACCAAAATCTACAAAATCAACCATATTCCCCACACCAACAAAGCATGCGCGAACACCACCTTCATATAGGCTCTTACAAGGGAACAGCTCGGGGTTGTCAAAGTACTCAAGACCAAGAGCTAGTGGAGCTGATTCTCCATTTGACTTGCCACTGAAGGATGATGATAGCCTCATCAGTTGCCCACCATTCTCAGTTCCCAACTACATGACTCCCACAGTTTCTGCAAAAGCCAAGGTCAGACCTAACAGCAATCCAAAAGAAAGGTTTCCTGGGACCCCAAGGAGCGAGTCAAATAGGAGGCTTTCTTTCCCCCTGTCACAAGGCGTTGGATCTTTCAAGTGGAACAAAGGGTCCTTCTTCTCAGGCAAGGATTCCAGCTCACAAAGAGGCTTGGAGAAGCACCAGTCACTTCAATCTATAGGCAATTTGAGTGTGGATTCAACCGTTTCTATGCCTGCTACAGTTGGAAGGAAGCCATTTAACAGATTTGTGTGATTTATTTTTCCATTTAGTTAACCTCTCTTTTTTTCTTTTTTTCTTTTTTTTTTTTCTCATATTGATGTTTTTCTTACTTGAGTGTGTGGTGATGTGTTGAGTTACAAAATTAATCGTGTAAAATTAAAAAAAAAAAAAAAGAAGAAACAATAGGGACCTATGGCTTGATTGTAACAAGATTTGTTTTTTTTTTTTTTAGAAAACAGTGATTAATTTTTTCCCTTTATTTAATATTTTGGTTAGTTCTCCTAATTTGATTTTTAGACACTAATTTCACAATTGAAAATTTTTTAATTCAATAAAACTGCTTAATCAGAATTACACTTGGAAAAAGGAAAATTTTTAATTATGAGTTATATACATCTTGTTAAAATTAAATTTTTATATAAAATTAATGTAAGGTTAAAAAGTAAGAAAACAAAAAGTTAAGAGTACTAAAAGTAAACAAAATGGTATTATTTTTATTAATTTGTCTAATTTGTGAGAGGTCATAAATTACAGCTTGTATTCATTATTAATTTGAATAATGATAAATTGAATCAAAATTTAGTATTAAAATTTGAGATTAAATTTAAAATATTAAAAGTGAATTTTATATTATTTAATAGTTAATTTTCTTTAAACAACGATACTATATATATTAACCAAATTAATAACTTGATATAATTTACATCATTGATCCCAAATTCTTTTTCTCATTATCATTACTCTATTAATTTATATAGAAAAATATAAAAATTAATTTTATTTTTAACACCAATAGTATATATATGATTTTGATTGAACAATTATAAAATTGAAGTCATCTTTTATTTTATTTTATTTATTTATCATGTATTCTAAAAATATAAAATAAAAAGTAATTAATAATTATTACTTTTTATTAAAAAACTAAAAGTTCATTTTTTTTAATTAGAAATATCATGTCTCAATTTTTTATTAGTACATTTTAAATTAAAACTTTAAAATTATCTTTTTAATATAAAATTTTATCCTTTTTAAGAAAAAACTTGCAATTATCACGACTTAATAATTGCACTTTAGCTTATGCCCTTTAGACACGGATCAGTTTTTTGAATATAGATTATAGAAACCTTTAATTAATTTTTTAGTTTTTTTTAATATACATCTTTAGGTATACCTTAAAGGCATTATTAATATATATTTTAGTAATTAATTAATTTTTAAAAATAAAAATTAATTTTTAATTTTTAATTATATAATTAAAATTATTTATGTAACATTAATACAAAAATTAATATCAATTTTTTTTATAATAACATGTTAAGAAACTTTTTTAATAATAATTAAAAAATATAATTATGTACTTTTAATTTATACTTCCACAATACACTTGTTTTGTCTTAAAATAATTATTTTTTATTTTAAATGTGTCCTTAATTTAATTATATTATTATTTATTTATTTTAATTAATTAACTAATAATACAATTTTGTCTTTTATTTTTTTAAAAATATTAAAAATAAATATATATTGTTAAAATTTTAAAAACAATAAACAATAATTATTTAAAAATTTTTAATTTTAAAAACTAAAAAATAATTATTTTAAAATAAAAAAGGCTACATACGTTAGAAAGACTGAGTTTTTTT